CATTTTACACCTCAATCAACCACATTCTATGAGACTTCCAGGGTTGGTAGATAAATTCCTGCACCAGCCACTCCGGGACAAGTTTTGGCCAAGACTGCCCTGTTTCTTCCAAGATACCAAGTATTTTCTATTTATCTATTGTTATATTTCTATCATCCCCATCCCCATGATGGGGGGGGACCTTTTTATTGTAACTTACATTTTCCATAAGTTGGTACCTGGAAAATGTAATCTAACATTTTCCTTGCAAAATATAGTTATAGAAAATATAATGTTATATTTTCCAGGTGCCAACATCCTCAACAGACATGAAAATTATACTATTAAGAAAATGTAAATTACAATTAGGGGACGTATGGGAAATCATGCGCAGATTGCACAGACATGTGAGATCATGTGAGCATTGCTCAAAACCTATCGGGAATTTGTTCTAATGGGCCCTTCTTTCGCAAGTTCCTTTCGCAACACTTTCGCGACTTGCGTTTTGGAAATTCTGGCAAAAACACGTTAGCATGCTTTGGCGGACGGAATTGATTCTGCAAGTTTTTGCTGGCGCTCTTCCCAATTTTGGTTTGTCCCTGATTCCCAGCATAATTACAATTTCTTTTCAGGTATATCATTCTTAAGGCTTATCTTCTTTCTAGCTGTTGTTTCTCTAGATTTGTTGGCGCCCTCCCCAATTTTGCCTCATCCAAGGCTCTCAACTTACATTTTTCTCTTTAAAATAGGTATGTCCTTATTAACATTTATCGTCGTTCTAATTGTTGTTTCTCTAGATTTGCTGGTGCCCTCCACATTTTTTACTTATCCCAGGTTCTCAATTTACATTTTCTCTGTAAAATTGGAGTGTCCTTCTGAAGATCTTCTTTCTAGTTGTAGCTGCTGTTTCTCTAGGTTTGCGGGCGCTCTCCCCAATTTTGGCTTCCCCCAAGTTCCCAACTTACATTTTATGTTCAGATATGTCCTTCTTGAGGCTTATCTTCTTTCTACCGATTGTTTCTCTAGATTTGCTGGTATCCTCCCCAATTTTGCCTCATCCAAGATTCTCAACTTACATTTTCCCTTCAAAATTGGTATGTCCTTTTTAATATAAGATTTATCTTCTTTTTATAATAGTTGTAGCTGGTGTTTCTCTAGATTTGCTAGTGCTCTTCCTAATTTTGGCTTCTCCCAAGTTCCCAATTTACATGTTCTCTTGAATATATCCTTCTTAAGGTTTATCTTCATTTTAATTGTTATTTTTCTAGATTTACCAGTGTCCTCGATTATTGCTATCGAGTACGCAACTAGGAACCCATCTATCAGAAATCTTCAATCCGTACATATTTTTTTTGGGGGAGAAAGTATCAAAATATAATTTTAAAGCTTTAATAAGCATAAAATAAAGCACCCTATTACGCCTTTGCTAGCTACATATACAAAATCCAATTCCCCCCACCCCCCCTCCAACAAAAACTAAAATTTGACCAAGGTGGATAAGAAATTACATTTATCATCCCCCCCTCCAAAAAAAATATAACTACAATAAAAAGATCCTCCCCTATTTTCAATACCTTAAGTAATGGTAAATTTCTAATAATATTCATCAAATTATTAAAATTAAATAAAAAAATACGAAAGGTAAAAATAAACCGAATAATTATTAAATTTTATTTTAATAAAAAACTATTTCCAATATTTCAAAAACGTATTCCTTAATTAATTATACATACAACCAATAAATCCAAAAAAAAAAAAAACATCGTTGCGATCAAATTACGCCATACGACTCTATAATAAAAATTACATAACGTCGACGCTCGTTTAATACAGAAAATATAAAATCAAATACATATAAAAATCGCAATATATAAATGCTCGTATGCAAATCAATTATAATTCCATAACTATATGTATTATATCAAAATCACAAGCCTTCATACGTTACGTCGAAGCCACAATAATCAATCCCCTTATAAAAATAATACTAAAAAAATACGGCCAATATTTCCAAAAATGTACGTTACGTTATAATACGATAAAATTTCGTTACGTTAAAATATAAAAAAATCGAATAATATTCCGCGCCACGAAGGGTTTCTTTATAAAGCTTTATCGAATCAATTAATTTATCAATAAATTAGCACGTAAAATTACGGGAGAAAAAAAAAAAAAAACATATAAAATATTAATTTATCAATTCTTAATTCCGAATAAATTCCCAAATCAATTCCTTTGCTTCGTAAAGCAAACTCCAAATAATCCTTACCAAGCTACCTTTCGTGATTATTATAAACAAATATAAATATAATGTATCTTTCCTCCTCGAAATCAATCACCAACCAATACCACCACCAACAACCAATCTCCAAAGAATCGGATGTAAACCAACACCAACACCAACCAACCAACCAACCAACCAAACAAACCAACCAAAAAACCAACCAAACAAATCCAACCAAAACCAACCCAAACCAACCCAAACCAACCCAACCCAACCCAAACAAACCAAACCACCAACCACCAACCACCACCAATCACCAAGCACCAGCCACCAATTGTCCGCTCCTGTGTCTGGTGAAGTTGTTAACATCTGGGGTTATCCGGTCCTATGATTTTTGTACATCAATAATCCAAATAATTCCAATCTATATGTTGATTCCCCACATTGACGTGTGGAGCTTCTGCCTTTAGTTGTGTATCCGCTCTTCTCCGGCTCCTCCTTCCTCCTGCCCCCCGCTCAACAACCACCAACCAACAACCACCAACAACAACCACCAACAACATCCACCAACAACCAACCACCAACAACAACTACCAACAACAACTACCAACAAAACAGCCACCAACAACATCTACCAATAAAACAACCACCAACAACATCCACCAACCACAAACAGCAACTACCAACAAAACCACCACCACCACCACCAACAACAACAACAACAACCAACAACAACATCCACGAACAAAATCCACCAACAACGTCCAAAGTCCAACCACAGCCACCAACAACAACTACCAACTACCAACCAACAACCACCAAGGGGCTCTCCCAGGGGTCGGATGTACGCCCTGGAGCTCCTGGGTTGAGCAACGCCGGGATGCTCCGCTGATTCCTTCCTCTACCCCTCTTTTCTCACCGCGCTTCGAAACTGAAATATTATTGGATAAAGAAAGAGCTTTATTTGAGTAGCCAGCTTCTTCTTCTTCTTGCTACAGGGGTTGTGTCTGGCGAAGTGGTTAACATGTGGGATTATCCAGTCCTATAATTACTTATTATATATTATTATTATTCGAATATATTGTTAATGCTTATATGAATTAACCATATGTTGAAACAAAACTGCAATTACGATCAATGTCATGTTAGATATTAAGTAAATTTATGATATGCTTGAATTGAAGATGATCGATTCATCAAGTAATTGTTCCCTTTGCGTCTTCTGAAATCAGTCTTTCGAATGAGTCTTTGGTCTTTCGATCGTCTTTCAGATTTGGGATTGGAGCGATATAGATCCAGCTGACATTTGTCAGGCCAGGAATGGTCAATGACACGTCATGATTAGACTTGCAAAGCATTCAATGACACATCTGAGACATCTGGCCTTTAAGAACTTAATGTCATTATTAGTTATATACTACTCAATGAGCTCTTTTGAGAAAAAATGAGAAAATCAAAGATTGGCTGTGCCCAGCAGCCTTAAAAGGGGCAGATGCCCTTAAGTCATTGACCTGCTGAGGAAAATGCTAAACATCACGCCCAGTGAACAAAACTACCCACAGAGCTGTGCAGAATCCGTAGTAGCCTGCACTCACCATGAGGGTCTGCCATGATGGCAGGTGCAGTGCAGGAGGACTGTCTTCATCTCCGGTTCGATGAATACCCCCTCGTGATGGCAAGACTGCCATGAGATCTGGGTGATGTGTTTGGACCCAACGCCGGACAACAGAAGAGAGCTGGATGGACATCGAAAAACTCCATTTCTGCAAAAAAAATATTCGAAACCACTTCTTCTCTCCTTTCTCACTTCTTTCCTTCGATGTTCCGGTCTCAAACCTCTCATCCAAATGAAATTAAACCTCTATACAACGGGATTGCAGCGCTTTGTATAGAGCGCCGCCATCAGATCGCCGTCTCAAGTGCCGACTAGTGCCGTCTGCCGACGTGAACGGTGCGGCGCAAGAACCTTTGTTCAGCCTGAAAAGATCTTCCAACAAAAAAACCCAGGGAGGGACCGGGGATAGGTACGCAACCTGATCTTGCAAAAAAAAACCACGGGTTTGGTAGAGGAACACCTCTCGGTTCTCAATGTCTGGCGCAAACCGGCATAGCTTCGCGGTGTCTTTCAAACGAGTCAGAGATGCCTGGAAATCTGAAACATGCCTTCCGACTCCCCTGAGCTTCCATCGTGCACCATTTGGTACAAATCGATCAAACCGAACATGCCGACAGGGCCGACAAGTCTCCGGGGTAACTTAAGAAGCTTCACCTGGAAATGAGCTCCATTTTTTTGCCACCAAGCATGAACATTCTCGAACCCTAATATTGAACCTTTTTAAGTTCGGCTCCTGGAACCACATGTTGACGTGGAAAGGCACTTGAAACATGATCCAAAGGCGCCGTCAGCACGCTGTCTGCCCCACTGCGAAGTGAACCGAACGGTGGCTCGGAAGGAAAATGCCTTCTCTCTCTCTCTCGGAACGTCGGCGAAGATGTGGACGTCGGCGTTCTTCTTCGGTCTTCGTTCCAAAGGGAAAAGACCGAGGTCCGGAGGATTTTCATGGCCGGCCGGTCTGCGGTCTTAGTGCAGTTTGCAGTGCCTGAACCCGAAAGAAGTCACATGTGCGAACTCTCGAGCTTGTGGGGAGGGAACAACCATCATCCTAGGATTCCAACCACAACTATCTAGATTGATTAAGTTACAGTAATAGGCTTTACCGAACAAGCAGTGCTCTACTGAGAAGTTTACACAAAGCCAAGTCAACCATTTTTGGAGTCTTGAAAGTCTAGTGATCATGCCGTTTCGCCCCATCAACGATGCTCGTACTGGTTCTCGCAGCGATGGGACAACGGACCTGCCACACCAACTTTGGAAGATCCGCAGGTTCCGCTTCACCCGCACTTGGAAAAGCGAGCCGTCTAAGGTGCCGTCTAAGGTCGTGGTCCTGCCAGAACGGCGGATGGTGGTGCTATAGATGGATGAGGGTGTGTAGAGGAAAAACCATCCGAGTGAATCTTTTCACGGGGGTTCTGACAAATTTCGGGCTGTGCCCCAACCCTGGCAAACCTGAAGCATGCCTCAGCATGCCCTACATTGACCTCAATTCAAGAGTTTCAAGAAGCACAGCTGTGCCGGATTCTGACCATTTCGACCTGGACAACCTTTGGACGCCTAAGATTTGAAGCCAAGTCTAGCCACGTGGTCCTTGTATACGAGGCAAGCGACAACTATATCACGTATACCTCGAAGTCCGAAGGCAGTTGGCGCCATCCGACCCCCCCCAGCGACCCCCGGGGCCATCGAATCCATTGGGCTGGAATCGTCGGGCTGCATGGATGTGTGTGTGCGTGTTTGACACCCTAAGAGTCCGGGTTCCTTCACCAACACATAGGGTTTTGAAGATCCGGACCCCTGCGAAGAGGGAGAAGGTACTGGAGAAGGTCCAACCCCGGACACCCCCGAGCTCGGATTCAAACAGGGTAGATGTTTAGTGGTGCGCTCTGCTGACACTGACCACTACCAGCGCTTTGAAAAAGGGCCAAACATCACGCCAAACGCGCCGTGCTTCGACTCCGCCCGACTCCGTCCGTCCATTCAGCCGATTGGTCCCTCCAAGCGGATCGATCCTTAATCACTGGACCCGGTGGACTCCGGGTGAATGGGGTTCCGGACACGCACGACTCTAGTCGTAGAGGCTGGCCTCAGTGCGAAACAGCAAGCAAGAATCAGGAGGACCCAGAAGGGATCGATCAGGGAGTTCGGGTGGTGAAAACAATCCAATATTTACAACCCCCAACCCCCCACACACACACACACACAGAAACACACAGAAACACACACACACACACCGACCCACACACAGAGACACACAAGATGTTTGTCCTAGAATGTCCTAGATGTCATAGCCTTTTCAGTGGCTGGCTTCATCTGGTTTCGGGACCAACATTAAAACATGGACTGCTCCATGGATGTGGGGAAGGGGAGCAGTAGCTCCAGTACAGTAGCTCCCCAGCAAAGTGTATGTTCCAATGTTTTTCAGATGGACCCGCCCAAAGGGCGGCAAGGACTTAGCAAAGAATGAACCCCCAAAATGGCCGGGAAGCGGTGCAAAGACCATTCCCCGACCATCCATGAGACTCAGGTACCTGCATTGGGGGTTGATTTCAGGGGGTCTATGTAGAAGGTCTAGTGAATTCGTGCCATGGGGAAGGGTTTCCCAAGGCAAAGCACCGAGTGTACATCCCCTGGAATCCTGGGATCGCATGGTCCCTAGAATGGAACGGACACTTCCGATGTTGACTAAACACCAAGAGAGGTGTTCTTTTGATCTGAGACGAACCCCTACGTGGGGTACCCAACTGGCTAAGGTCGAACTCGGATTCTTCAACCTCCGGCAGGTCAGATCAATCCATTCCTACAGGTCAAAGACATCACGTATTACTGAAGTTGATCATACCCAAACACGACTAATGGGACTCCCATACATGCCGCCCCATTGACCCCTCATGGCCCACCCCAACTGGCCGGCATATCTGGGATACAAAATCAGACTCAAATGAAGGCAATGACCCGGTTTTACTGGGTCAATTGGACCAATTGGAGTCACCGGATCGGACCGATGTTCGCCGAGCGAGCGGAGTGATCCGGAGAGAAAGAAAGGGAGGGACGATCAGTCAACCCAAGACTTGGGTCCCGAAGAATTCTTGCATTGAATGAATTTGGGGCTGCAGTTTTTGGGTATCTGCAAATCCCCCCTTAAGCAGATTCCATCGCAGCGGCAATCAGGCCACGCAAGGCCTTCGCCGTGGGCAACTGGTCGCCCTGGAAGCCTCGATGGTCGTCGGAAGCGGAACAAATCCAGGATCATCCTCCATTCGAGGACTCTATCTGACTGCTGAGCTCGATGTTCTTGAATCCAAGTGAAGAGGCTTTCCACCTGTCTTTTTTTCGTGGGGGACTCCCTATATCCTCGGTCGGTGGTGTTCTTCCTGGCGATCGAAGCGTCGTTTCGTCGCGGACGTCGACGGTAACGATGCGACCCGAAGCGAACACGAACAGGTGACGTGGAACGATGACGTTTCACGTGTGTGTACGCCTCCGGAAACCGGCACACTAGGACTCCAACTACCTCCTGAGAAGGTGGGTCCAATGGTTGGGGTGGGTGCCAAGGGAAAAACTCACCACCGAACCTGTGAAGATGGGCCAGGTTGGAGCCCTTTTTCAAAGGGCAAAACATGTGAACGACCATGGAGCGGGCCTCTTTTCCGAAACTTCGGTGAAAAAGGACCCGCTCCCAAGGGCCCAGCTCAGCCATGGTGGTGTGGCAGGTCGTCCAGAAAAAAGAACCACACATGTTCCCCAAGTACCCTAGGGCCACAAGTACCTCCTCAGAAGGTATTTGGACCCTCTAAACCCACCCTAAACACCTTCTTAGAAGGTACTTGGAGTTGTAACGGAGTCGTAGGGATACTGAACTTGACCATCTGGCAGGGATGGTCGATGTGATTCGTGAACGACAGTACTTGCCCCTGACATCCAATTTCACACCATGCCGAGCTCTTTCAAAGAAACAGCACCATATGGCACAACCCATCACAATAATTATATGTATACCAGGGAATCCACATGTGCATTTTTTTGTTCAAATACGTTCGCACAAAAAATCGTGCATCCGGCCTTTTTTGTCAAATGAACAAATTTTCTGGAAGTCCTCCGAATATTGGGTTTGATTGGGTTTTATAAATATCATTGTTTGGGTTTTTGTCGCTAACAACATGTTGATACAGTTTGGGTTTCATATGGGTGCGCTTTTGTACGGTATTGTTTTTTTGTCCATACGGCGCTACATACGCTAATTCGTTGATTAACATGTCCATACGATAAATTCTGTCCAAATATGGCCTTCGCACAAAAAAAAGTGTTCATACGCCTTTCCAGGTACTGTGTCATCTACCTTGAAGCACTGGGTGCTCCCTGGACGATTCTCAAGGTTTGGGTCGAACCATCTGCCCCCCCCCCCCAAGCCATTCTGTTTCCCAAACACCGTGCGTTGCACCAAGAATCTGCTCTCGGAGCGGGAAACCAAATGCAGTTGATCTCCTTTGAGCACCGCCACCTTGTCAAATTCGCCTCGGCTTGTTCGCTCGGGAGGTTTCCCCGCCCACGAACCTCGCCAGAACCAACAACAAGAACGTAGAACACGTCACGTCCGTTTGTTCGAACGGCGGCTGTCTGATTCAGACGCGTCTTGAGGTCAGACGAAGGCTTCCGGCTCGTTCTTCCAGGGCGTCGAAAAAAATAAAAATAAAAACGGTGGACGGTGGATCTAAGAGTCGATGGGTCTCCATCATGGTGGGCGGGGGCGGTTGTTTCATGAAACAATCCATAGCCCTTCATCATGTAGATCAAGTTATTGAAAGACAAATAACAAGTGTAAAAACCTGTTCATCTGAGGGGTTTTTATGTTTGATCAATCAAGAGCCGACACATGTGGAGATGTAAAACCATTCATGGTATGAGTCATGAGGGTTTTATTGATCAGCAGTCCATCAATTTCTTCGGACCATCCAAGCATCAATCAAAGGCCCGCTCCAGCACCGCCCGCCTGACGCACCGCCGGTGCATCGTTCGGGCTGCTTTCTGGTTGCTTTTTCCAGAAACACCCCACGCGAATTTGGGGCCGATCTGATTGGTATGAACAGACCTCTACAGTTCCCTCAAACATGGAACTGGAGTCTACTGTGGTCTTTGGAAGCAAAATGTGATGTTCACATCAGGGATTCATGGCTCAATGTTCGACCCAGCATCGCAGGTTTCTTTGGGCATGGAGAAATGAGTATGGTGGGTTGAGAGTAGGTGGCGCAATCCCCAATGTCGGTGGTTTATATGGATCCCCATCTAAAAGACATCTTGGGGTTCGTACCATCTACTCTGAATCACTGCACATGGAGCCCAACTGCGAAGGTTAGGCCCGGGAGTTTGTTCTCATCATTCATTCTATCCCATAACCATCCAAACTGGGTGGTGCTGGTATATATCGTCAATACCTGGTGTCTAGTTAAAGAATAAGATCCTAGGATTCTTAGGATCCTGGATCCACCAAGGACACCTTCACACCGATGACCAAACACCGGGGCCTTGACCTCACCCCGGTTCCCCGGTTACGCGCGACCTGACCGTTGCGGCTCAGGTGCTGAGAGTCTTCAGTCACCTGGCCGCGGTCCGCCCGTCCGAAAGATCGGTCCGCCGATGCGCGCGCCGCGTCAGGCGCCGAAGGCGACGGTAGGTCTTCTGGGGCGAAAGAAGTCAGGTCTATGAGTCTATGAGGTGCAAGTCGGCGACGGATGAGGTCAATGATCGCAGTGTGGAGTTCCCTGAGTCAATCGAGTTCCTCTGAAAAAGAAAGAATCCATCAACATCCTCCAAGCTCCACATTTGACCATTCTGTTTTTGGCCAAACCAACCAGATCAGTTTCAACTTTCAACCAGATCTTAAACATCCAGCATGAACAGGTATGCACCCACCCCAAATTCACGAACAAAACAAATCACCCAGATCATCCATGGGAAAAGTTCTTAATGACATACTCATTAAACGGGCATCCAAGGGGTGAATGCATTTATTCCATGAAGTGAAAGGGGTCATAGACTTGGATGTGCTGTCCATATCAGCTGGGACCAAACATGAAAGAATCTTCCCCAGGTAGAAGGGGATTCACTCAGGTAGAAGGGGGATTCACTACATCACGGACCTCCGCAAGCACCAGGTTTTGGACCTCAAAACGCGTTTGCCGCCAGCCCGCGCCGCAGCCCGCGCCGCTCTCGACGCAACCGCCTCCACCAGATATCGAAGCTCTGCATCCGGGTCCTCCGACCGTAGGAGGCAGCCCGGCCGCTGTTGGACCAGCTGATCCACACTGCTGTCCTGTCGCGGGCGTCTTTCGGCGTTTCCGGGGATGGAACGAGACGGAAAGGACTTAGCAAAGACGTCCCTGAAATCATCAGGGAAGTGGATGGCACCCCAAGTGGGGAGTGTAGGAGATACCCGGAGATAGGAAGGAGATAGGAAGGAGATGGAAGGAGGATACAATGATTAGGTGTTGATGAAGTGGTGTTGACCATGCTTCATCCACCGTTGGATGGACAAGCAGACATGAGGATCCATGCGGATCTCAAGAAGTGTCATGGAGCTGTACAACGACCAACCCAAATGTCTCGGTTCGCCTCAGGAAACTCTGGAATTTTTACTGGAACATGCTGCATGCTCGCACCTGAACATATCGTAACATCATCTACTGGGCAAAGCAATAGTTCCTATATAGGTTTTGGTCAAACTTCGATTTGTCAATGCCTGGTCAAACTTAGAACCATCGGGCGGCCAACCCAAAAAAAACGATTCCAAGATATTCCAAGAACACACATCCACGGCCCCATAGGCTTAGATTGCTTGAGGAACCTAGAAAAAACATCCCGAAAAAGGGCCTTTGAACATGATTGAGCCATTGGGAAAATCACAAATCATCTTAATGTCAAGTTACGATTCATAAACCTCCCCTAGTTCATCCGAAGAGGAGGTTGACATTATAAGCAATACCAGGCAAACTTCCCTGCCCCGGTGTTTGATACTTATACACGATCGTCACTTCCACGGCCGAAGGACGCGACGCAGTACGCGACGTAAACACGGCGCTCCTCGCGACACTTGCAGTAGCCGCGCTTGTTGTCTCGCCGCACCACCTGCAAACACGTCATTTAGGGCTGCCAGTAGCCGCGCGAGGTTTCGTGACACGCAACGCATGGGAGAGTGGCGCACGGCCCGAAGTTGAAGGCTCGAAGGCTCAGTGCGGCTGCAGCGAACCCGGGCTGGGGCTCGAAGACCGGCCCGAGCGACTGGAGCGAAAGAGGTGGACACGTCACCACCGTGGATGAAACAGGTGGGGCTCTGGCACCGGGTCTGGCACCGATGGTCCGACGTCGGTGGTCTTCGTTCCGAGGACGACACCGAAGAGGAACCGGGACGATGGGTGCGGTGATGGGCTGAGGGGCTGGGAGGAAAGACTTCAAACACTTCTGGCATCTGGTGGCCATTTGACCCATTTTGCTCTGTTTCACACACACAAACTGTCACAAACAATGGAAAAAACATGAACAAGGTCGACCGTGGCCCATTCGGGGGTGTTTCTGTTTCGAGCCATTGATTGAACGTCCAATGTCTCCCGATGTTTTGTTTGTGAATGGAGTGCTATGCCAAAGAATTCCTGATGACCGCATCGAAACTTCGTTGCTGGAGTACTTCAGTGTCACCAGGAGGTCCATCGAAGTAGTCTTCGGAATATCAGTGAATGGTCCAGGACCTGAATGGTCCCTTGAGTGTATCTGCTTAAAGAGGTCACCAAACATTCTAAAGTCACCCCAAACATCCAACAAAAACGCATTTATAAGCACTCAACTATCTCAAACTCATCGCACTTTCAAATATTTCAATGACTTTGATGGGACTTGCAATGATACTCTTCAAAACCATTGGCCATTGGTTGACAACTTGGTGTTATCGGATGAGAAAGACAACTTACACCCCACCCCGTGGAACCATCCATAGAAATGTTAATTTTCAAGAAACAGCGTGGAAAACCACCACACCAAAAACCTGCTCCACACCTGCTGCTTGGGAGCCCAATCTTGGAATTGTTGATTCCCCAGTTCGAGGAAAACATCACCTGATCCGCCCCCCAGGTCTCCAGGCTCGACCTGGTCTCCAGGGCTGTGGCGCTCCCCCAGCCGAAACCCACAGCACTCCTTCCACTTACTTCGTCGACCTGCAGCACTCCTTCGCAGAACTCATCCTTCGACACGTGTAGCTGGTCGCACAACTTGCGCCTCGGGTAGCGAGGCTCCGAGTTGCGGCCCGAGGGAGGCCACCAGGCGGCCAAACCGATGTGTTTCGTGTTGTCTTGCTGTTTGGCAAGAACAGCGCCCGGTCACAAGGCAAAGCAACCGGGTCCAGAAATAGCGTAGTTTTTTGGTTTGGAGCTTAGACACCAGCAACCCTATCCTCGGAGCCACTCCGACACTCCTGACTCGCTCTGGCCAAAGCCAGAATGGTGCCTAGGTCGAAACTTCCAGAATCATTATGCAGCTGGACAAACATTCAGAGCCAAGAAGAACTTATATAAGAGCACCGAGCGCTTGCCTTCGACGATTGGCTGAAAGATTGGGGGAACATGGACTGCTGCTGAAAACACTCGTGATATGGAATGGCCACTGAATTTGTACGAACATCAATAAAGGGCTGACCATGCAAAGTTCTACTTGCATGAGCAGGACAAGTCTCAGATGTCCTGATAAACCCTTCAATGTTTGGAGACGGGTTGAAAGATGTTGAAACTCCCAAACACTCGATGTCTGCTATCTGTCTGCCATCTGTCGACCTCTGCTGGTAGATTTGGGCTCCACCCGGGCCACCGAAGGCCGCCATCGGTCCCGGTTCTGGGTCGTGGGGCAGCGGGGCGAAGTCGTATCCACCGAAGCGATTGAAGGTGTAGAGCCTGACGGCCGATCCGTGGTGTTTGCGGCGCGAAGGCGGCGCGAAGCGGCTTCGATCTGCGCGAGGACTCGGAAGGCGCCAGCCGGTGTTTTGAGGGAAAGCAGACTGCCAAGAAAGGTTGGGCAGGTTACGGCAGGTCAAACACTGACTGGGAGAGTGATCCTAGTCAGGATGTTCGAGTTCGAATCCCCTAAAGGTTGGGGCTTTTGGTGAATCTGATGCAATTGCCACGCAAAAGCAAGGTGACCGCCCGCTAGGGCGGATGCCAAAGTCTGTTTGATGACTTGGGGCATTCAACATGCTGCAAACGTATTGGGAGTATGGCAAGTTTGAAGGACTCTTAGTCTTGCTGCTCACTCAAGTTTATCTGATCACCCGTGATCTGGGACCTGGAATTTACAACCCCAAGGTCCAAGAACAGTCTTTTAGGCGCGCTCGAAGAGGAATTTCCTCTACTTTGGTGGTGCCAACTTTGGTCTTTGGACTAGTGACTAAGGTAAAGGTCATGACACATGATGACACATGGAATGCAAAAAACAATAAACTGAACACATCGTCGCTTTTCTTGAAATTCCTAGCTAAAGTGTACAACTGCACATGAAACATCCAGGTCTCACCACCGGCGCACGTATTGGCCTTGCACACCTGCTATGTTAACATACCAGTACCGTATGATACATCCTTTCACCATTGTATCATACCCAAACCCTCGAACTCTGCCGGGCAGCAAGCCCTGGTGAGCGAGGAAACCATTGCCGTTCAGCAAACCCTGTTGCCTGGGCAGTCGGCTGTTCCGACGTAGGGCAGGGCCGCCGGTTGGGAGTTTCGGCGTGCGAACATGCCGTGGTTGGCAAGTTGGTGATGACAAAAGCAGGAACGAACACATATGAGTCAGTGACAGTCAGTAGGTGCAATCATGTCAAGTAAAGCAAAGGTTGAACATACAAATATATGAAACCGTCCAATAACATATTCAACATATTAAGTTTAAAGGTATATTTATATAAGGAAAAAACACACAAGCAGCACACACACACATCGATGCATGTTTATGCATGTTTCAGAAGGTTCCGTGTTTTGAGCATCAACATGCAACACAGCGCATCGCTTTAATCGCCGGGAGCAACACATCGCCGGTCCTTCACTGGTCCTTCGCCAGTGTCTCATGACGGAAAACACGTCCCGAAGCGGCACAGCCGGCACAGCAAAACCCACGTGTTTTCCCCCGGAAGCGGATACTTGCGCATGTGTAGAACCACCAACGGCCCTGAAAGAGGGCTACCAGGGCGTTGCTATGTAGGATCAAAGGATCTAAGTACGCGCCCCCCCACACCGAAAATGAACAGATCCCTCTACGTTCCGGATGTCAGCCAAACCCATACTTTGTAGGTTGAGGTGCCACGACCCACATGTGGGTGTGCATTTCATCTTCACCCCTGGCAGGGACTGGTCGATTTCCCTAAGCTTCCAAGGGGGCAGGACGCCCGGGAGGTCTCCTTATTTTTGTAATACACGCCCATGTGGGTATACTGTGCCCGTAGTATAGCAATATATTATGATATATTATGGTAATTATAAGATATGTAGGTATATATAGGATCCAACGAATTGGATTTTCTGCTGCATGGGATCTATTTGTGTATTTCTCAAATAGGGAGGCCCACCCAACGACCGACCGATCAAAATACACTCCCAGGTGTGGAGCAGAAATCTGAACCATGAGAACAGCGACCGGAACACCAGTGCTTCGGAGGTGCTTAGACATCTCACCCGCCCACAACACCGCCATGCCCACACATTGACCTTAGCTTTGAAATCACGCATTGGACTTACTGTATATTGCAAAAAATCCAAGTTGAGCGTGGCATTTTCGGCCAGGGAAACATAAGTTCTGCTTTGCATGCTGCCATGTGCTGCCCTTTTCGGCACCAGCGGGTGTGTGCTTCCGGCCCCGCATCTCATCTTGGAATTCGAGTGCCCCACACACACAGGCACACATACACACACACATGTGCCTAGAACACTGCCTAGAACCCAAATATGACCCCTATTTTGATAGGAACAGGCCACATTTTGGATGGTTGGTGGCGCAAACAAAGGATCACTCGAGTCTCTAGGTAGGCCTTCACATCTGGCAGCACACACATTGTACAGTTCTACTGTGTTCCACTCTTCAAAGACCATCCTTTTTGGCTTGTGCCATTGGTGCTTCGGGTGTGCTTTCCTTCCTCTTCTTGGATTTGCTGTCCAGGAACCTGGATTCCGAAGTAATGGTTGATGGCGTATTTGCAGGCAACGGCGTGTGATTGCGTGGTATACGCCCCACGACCACACGCCGTGCCATTGTGGACGTTGTCGGCCTCGGACGGCATCACCTCGCCGATGGCGAGACAACTGCTAATGCCGTACAGTGAAGTTCCATGCCACTCTAGTTCCCAACCTTCACTCCATCGGGGCACAGTTTTATGTAACCCAGCCGCCTCAGCAAGATGTCCTGGAACTGGGGGCGCAACATTCAATGGATAAAACTTCCACTGTGCTTCTGGCGTGTCAGCCGGCAGTTCGGGCAGCTCTAAGCCTGGGTACATTTGCCACACCAATCTCAAATTTGGGCTGGGATCTTGCCTCAAAGAGCTCACTGCCCATACCCCTTCGACACTGAACAGACCACCAGACTCTCTGTTGTGAGTTGGCTTTCTAACGGAAATCCTGACCGGCGCTCCCCTTTCTTATCTTTCTTCTTGCATCCAGCCAAAGGCTGCCTCTGGCCTGCCTTATCTTTTGGATGGATTTGATGCTGGCGCAACATCTGCACCTGCTGCACATCCTCTTCATACTTCTCCACCCAGCCCTTCCCCTCGCGAAGCACATCCTCACATCCACAAGCCCACAAATCCAGCCCCTCGCCAAAGAACTTCGGCAGCAAAAGCAGCTCCTCTCTCACTATAGTCTGGCCACTCTCCCTCCACCTGCGCCCTCACCTCTTCTGTCCACATGCTCGGTCTGGCGTGCTCCTGCATGCACACGTGCTTTTTGAATCGCAAGAAGCCGTCAACCAGCTTGGCATTTGCGCTCTCAAATTTCTCTGCCATGCCTTGCAATGTCTCATGCTGTTGCAGCCCCTCTATAACCACATGCCCGTGCACGTGCAGCGCACTTGACTTCTGGCTCTCGATGCTAAAGAAAGCTGCGCAACACCTTCCAAAAGCTCCTCCCTCAAGCTGCGCGGCATTCCCCAGCATGTCTCCACAAAAAGCCCCTCCGTCTGTGTGACCTGGGGCAAAACAAGCACATGCGCAAGCCAAACAGACCCCGCAATAGCAACAACATGTGCACTCGGAACCCCATAACAGCAGCAGCTGGCTTTAGAGCCAAGATCTTTCTCCTCTCCTCGAAGTTAGGCCAGACCATCCTCTCCTCTGCATCCGGTTGCATCCTTCCTGCAACCTTCTGTAATGCAGGATCACGCTGCACTGCCGGATCCCCGACACGCCACCGTGCCAAGCACAGCGTACAATAGTTATGCTTCTCAGCTGGACTCAAAGTCACAAATAATGGAGTTCCGTTCGCAACCTGCATCGACTTGCCTCTAAACCGCATCTGTGTTCTGACACCAGTAGTTCCTGTTACTTTGCTAATCGTATGCTTAACCTGCTGCAACAAACGGCCACTCAGCGGCGAAAGTCCCGGAATGTATGCCACCTTGTTCAAGTCCCCAGCCACAGGCCGCAACTGTCCATCCAACCCGCGATACATGGCTGACAGCCCTTCACTTATCTCCATCGCCGCTTTCTTGAGGTCCTGCGGAGTTACTTCCACCTCCTCCCCCTCCCCGTACCCAGCCAGACGTCGTACAAACAATCCACGGCTCTGATGTAGTAGCTGCCGGAACAAGTAATTCCATCGAACATAGGAGAAGCACCATTCCGCACCGAATTGATGCTCGCACCGCAGCGAACACAACTCCGTGAACTCAGCCAACTCCACTTGCGACTCCTCCTCCCTACCACTTACCTTTCCAACACCTTTCATATCTGGCATGGCCAGCTGCGCCTTGAAGAGAAATGGAAAAGCCTCGCAGGGTCCAGCAATCACATTCCTATTGCCCCCGGAGCCTACACCCCAGGCAGCCTCACCTAACAATATATCACAAGCAGTACTTCCTCTTATCCCACCATGGTTCAAAACTCAACCCCCCCTCCGGCTTCCTCCTTTCCATCCTCAAGCCCACCCGCCTGGCAAAAAAAATAACCCCTGTACTGGTTCACCATTTCACTTCCTGTGTGCACATGCACCTCCTCTCCTCGCACAGCAGCCGACAAGTCCTGCCAAGCCTCCCCACCAGCCTCACTTTCACAGATCTCAGCAAATGCATCCCGGGTACACGTCACTGCAGACGGTCCTGGCCCGGTATGCATTTGGCAACAACGACCCCTACTATGACAGCTACAGCGACAACAACAATACCCATCAACCTGCTCTATCATTGTTTACCACTCCAACTTTCAATCTGATCGTCCAAACCCAATGCCTTGTGCTACCTCTGACAACCACCACCCACTGAGGCGCAGACTCACACCGCAAAAGCCATCCCCATGTCCCTCTCACCCAACGGCGGTGTAGCATGCTTAGAAGCTTGCAGGTTCTCAATTGCACTGCTTGCTTGTCGTGCTAGCGCCGCCAACTCTTCCAGCACTCCTTCCTCAGGCAACTGTGCAGCTTTCACCCGCACCTTGCCCATCATAACATGCTGGTAAGCAGGATGCTTCCTCGCAACACATTCTTCAATCAACTGCACCACCACCGCTCGCCGCACTCTCGCTTGACAGATCACCCGCGCATCTGACAGCTCACTGGTACGCAGGACTTCTCGAACTATTTCACATCCGACCCAAGGAAGATCCAAGCCCCCCTTCACTTGCTTGCCTAGCCCTGCCATAATATCTTCCAACGGCAAGGGAAACATAGTGATGTTCCCCCGTGCTCCCACTCGCCACCTCTGTCCCTGGGCTTCTTCCTGTAACACAGTGCCATACGGGCCCTCCAAAGTAAAGCAAACCAAACTTAACATGCAGGGCGAGGCCAGTATAGCTTCGAGATAGGTCACATTCTCCTGTGCCAACTTCGGCGACGCAAAGCCCGTCCACAAGTTATTACTCAGAGCCCTCCTCGGCAACACCTGCGGCCTGCTCTGAAAAGCGTGCTCACACCAATGACAGATTGGAATCTCACACTCTGCACAGAGATCTGGCTCTCCATCTATATGCCCACGTGCACATCGCTTGTCCTCCCATTGCAAATCAAATGCACCACCCCCTCCTGAAACCAGATCTTGCATTGCCACTCCTCCAGCTCTTTTGCCCACACCGCCTCCCTTAAATCTGGGCAACCTTCACCTCGATGACCAAATCGATCCAAAAATTCATCTACCCCAAAGAACTTCACAGCCTGTTGCCAGCTCAAACCGAGAAATGACTTCAAGACCAGCCTCGAACCCGGCAAAGCCTCACCTGCCTTTTTCCAAGACACTTTCTGACGTGGCTCCTGCCAAAGCATTCACGGTTTAACCCTTCTGCAGAGTTCAACGGTTTTACCCTTAAACCCTCTATCTTTCTTTCCGCCTCTCTGCTTTCTCACCCCCGAACCAGCCCAGCAACGACCATCTGGCAAGTGCGGGTGCACGCACCCGCAACAAAAGCAAATGAGCCCTTGAAGCTCGGGATGAGATATGCTACCATGAAAAGCTTTCAAGCACCTTCTATCATGCGCAGCTGACACTAGGGGCGCTCCTTGCTCACATCTGACGCTCATGGCTGCATTGCCTCTCGACACCGGGCCCATTGCCGCAAGAGCCTGTTTCATGGCCTGACTATTATGCTTCTCCTCCACGTGCTCAAGCAAAGCCTCTAAGCACTCCCCAGCCCAAGCACACCCTTCAAACGGGCAATGGTGATTGGGCAAGTAGACCCCCTTGTCTAAGTACAACACCGTCCAAGGCACTCCTGCTGGGCTACACGGTATAGTAGGGTTGCTGCGCAACTGCGACGCCACCGTTTCAATCCACCCTCGTAGCCTCTGCCCTGGGTGAGGTGATCCTTCCATAACCCTAAGCTTCGCAGCGAAGTCCAGCAGCCCTCGCACCTCGCCTTCCGGCACGGCCGCGTCTGCTACTGGTTCCGGAACACCTTCACCGCCCTCTTCCCGAGGCATACGCCCCAGGCCTGCCACGCCGATGCCACCAACTCCACCGTGTCCACATGCCATATCCATAGCCACCACCGGCCGGGCCGCCAACGGAGGCTCCGCCAGTTCCTTCCAAGGCCTACGCCCCAGAGCTTCGTCTGGCCCTTCCAACTTGTCCATAGCGGCCTCTGCCGCAGACCCTGCCAGAAACTCTCGCAACTTCCTCCGAGGCATACACCCTAGAGCGCCATCACGAAACGCTGGGACTTTGCCCGCGACCACTCCAAAACCATTGCGGCACCCAAGATCAGCTTACATTAACACCAACACCTGCACCAAACAAGTCTCTCCGCACCTGCACTCACGTATCTATCGTTTTTTGCAAACTCAGACTGCTTGGAAATTCCCATGCCACGCATGTCCTCATTACTCTCTTGTATCATGTCTCACGGAATGCTCCGTACGTTTGCTCTTGGGACCATTGGCTGAAATGGCCGGCGGAACAACCCCGCAGGGTGTAAATATATTAATAAGCTGGGCCATCGGTTAGTCAATTAATATCATATGGGCGCCATTATTTTTGTCCTCCTCTGTTATTTTATTGTCGTATGAACCGGCGCCCAGATATATGCCTACATTGACCCCTCAAACCGCCCCAATGTAGGCATATATGGCAGTCCCATGGAGTGTCTGGGATGTTTGGTTGTTCTTTTTTTCCTTTTTCCCACTCTCAAATGCACTCCGCGAGGCCATGGAGGCGGAAGGCCTCAGAGTAGTCCTAAGTGCGGTCTCCGCGGGGTCCGTATCTCGACCCGTGTGAGGTCTGAGCTCGGATGCGTGGAGCGCGCGACGGTGGCCGGTGGCGTGTCGTCGTTGGTGTTTGAATGTTTGTTCTTTGATTCACGAAATTGTTCTTTGCAAGCATGTGCTAGTCTAGTCACAGGCAAGAGCCCTGAGGAAAAGTGCGGCGTACAGGAAAATAAAGCATGCTTCTTGTTGTTGCGTTGATTGCTTGTTCATGCCTGATGGTTTCTTCTTTGGAGGTGTGTGTTTGTGTTTTACGTGTTCTTTGCTTAGTGAGATTCTTATCTTCTTCCAAGAGTCTTCATCCCGGACTCGATCGAGTCTGGTAATCTTAAGTTGCTTTCGGGAGAAACCGTAGGAGAGGCTGGTCTGCAAGATATTTGAAGCAGCATCATAATGTCAAGGATGGGATAAAGCTTGGCAAGGTATACCTTTGGTCCTTATCCCACATCATCAGAATGATATATATTATCCAATGAATGGCGCTGGCAACACATGTAGCCCACTGAAAACTAACAAAAAAACGCTGAACACCACTGGTTTGTAGAGGAAGACAGTCTTTGAGGGTTCCATTCGACCCGGGTCCATGTGAGTTTTCGGAAGTGTAAGCCATTACGAAACCCATAAGGCAACCAGCTCCATTAGTTTTCGATCCATCCTGACCCCACAGGTGCTCGAGGGTTATCTTGGCATCAACTGGGATAGAGAAAAAGGCTTGGCATTTGATTTCATCCCTGTCATCCTGAATCATCCACCTAAAGGATACAATCATAAAACAAATACACCTGGGAAGATTAACATGGAACCTGAAAATGGACCTTCGAAAGACTACTTGCCTCTACAACCCGACGTGGTTTTCAGGTTCTATGTGAATCTTCCCAGGTGTGTATAGACAATAGTACTTCGTCCACCGATCCATCAATGGGAGACTTCAAGCTGCTTGGAGACTCCCAGGATGAGTTCCCTTCCTCATCCTCCACACCTCGCAAGCTCCGAGGAACCAGTCCACAGAGCGTGGCACGGCGGTACCTCGGGGTCCGTCGAGGTACCGGCGCCCAAGTCCGGGGTGGTGAATCGAGACTTCAGGGGTTTGCCTGGAGGGGGGGAAATCCTGGAGGGGAGACCCCTACTGGTCTCCCGAAAAAGGCCTTTCTTCTTCACACAGCAGATGTTTCAGTTCCCAGTTCGAATGTCGGGCGAACGAGATCGGACACGCAAAAACACCAGGAACATCCAGGAACCCCCGACCGCGAACGATGCAACAGAGGGGTATTTCGTTTTAATTCGACGTCTTACCCAAGGCCTCTCTCAAGTTGCAACTTGCAATTACATGACTATTCACCTACTTTTTTATGACGGACAATAAGGGTTGCATTATATTTTGTAATCCCGGCAAAAAGTGAGTGAAGTGTAGCATGGTAAAGTCATTCATTGTTTGCTGTCAAGTCGAGCGTTTCTCAATGTGGTCCTTTCCAAGAATCTTCAAGTCCAGTCGGACCCAGTCAAGATCCAGGTCATTTGCCCAGTATTTCAGTCTTCCCCGTCTTGTACGAGGTGAGTGGCGTTTAGAGCTGAACCGAGGGAAGTCCATCCCATCCCGGGTAGAGACGCATCGACACTAAGGGAATGACAAGACCGTGCAATCAATTGGAGCAGCATCCACTGCAGCATCCTTTCCGCCAACTATCGCTACTCGTTGTCTCCTGAGTTCGCTTATATAACTTATATAGAAACAACTTCTCTAGATCACTTCTTCTCATCTGGGCACGTGAGAGAACTATGACGCTGCCAACATATTCCAACTCTTGGGGAGAAGATTTGCCTCATTCTCTCCCACACCCCAACATCACCCAACATCTCTTTTCAACGTGCTTGTGAGTCGATGCTTTGAATATATTGGAGGCCCCATTAGCAATGGCCTCCAACCTACTAGCGATGGCCTCCAACCAACCTATGAATAGGCGAAGTTGAATGGTGTTGTGACACACTACCAACGGATCATCCTAGACCTGGGTGTCCTGGCTCGACTACCCTACGTAGTCACAGGTCTCCCTGTCTGGGGGCACCCGGGTGCTGGAAGTGCTAGGTACCTATTCCCATACACTCCATGGGACTGCCATATATGCTTACATTGACCCCCCAAACCACCCCAATGTAGGCATATACGGCAGTCCCATGGAGCGTTTGGGTATGGTTTCACAATAGAAACACTCAAATCACATCACATGTAACATCGTCTCGACCTCCCCAACATCGGTCGATACATCCGAACTGCTCATGGGAACTCAGGCGCTCATCTACCCTGCGTTCCGGAAAGGACAAACAACCATAAACAACCCAACCTCTCTCTCTCTCTGTATTCTTGAAATCTAGTAGTCTAATATGCAATGAAATAGTTGAAATAAGTAACATGTTTTTGTTGCATGTTGTTGCTACAAAGGTCACATATTATGAGTAGCATGCACGTCAAGAGTCATTGTTCAGGTATTGCTCACAGCTATATAACTCACCCACACACCCACACCACCAAATTGTCCTGCACTGAAGACTACAGCAGAATCTTGATTAATTAGCGAACCCACCCGACTATTGAGGTTTTTTTTTATTTTTTTTATGACATCAAGAGTCTACAGTTACTTGTTTTTTTTTGCCAATTCCTTTCATCGTCCCATTCTCCCTTCAACCAGTTCAACCTCGTCCCAGGCGCAGGCCGTTCATGAAGGCCTCCACTCCATGACCCAAGGTGTGCGCGTACCTTGGATCGATGACCGCTCGCCAAATGCCGTGGCGGCCCAGGAGGGCCTCGATCTATACCATGAAAAGCATCCGTTTAAACCACCGGACGTCCATGTAGGCCATATTTGCATACAAATGAAGCGTTTGGATATGACAATCCGATGAATCTCTCTCTCTCTATATATATAT